GCCACGTGCAAGGCAAATGCCCTACCTGCTGTGCTATTGCTCTAGTCCCCAGTCCCCCAAGATTCGATTTGAAAATCTCTTTTAGGAAAGGATGCTCTTGCGGGGATGGGATTCCTCCGCCCAGGCCAGGAGCCGGCAAACGGCCACCTCAGAATTAGATCCCCGGTTTGTGAGATACCTGAGCCAAGGCCCTCCCGCTTTATCCTGTAGTCCCGGTGCTCAGCACTTCCCCCGGCACATGCCTCCCACCGCCACCTGCACATGCTTGTTCGGGGGTTGTTTCCCTGCTCCTGCCTCGCTGGGTCTTTGTTCTGCACATGTGTCTCCTCAGCATACAGAGCATCGCCTCTCTTTGTGTTCTGAACACAACACGATGGTGCTGTGTCTGCTGATCACTGCTTATTGCAGGCCGAGGTGGATGTCAGTATCTGCTCTCAAGTAGAGGACAGTGGCCTGGCAGGCAACCAGGAGGCATCCACAGAAGACGCCTCAGGTGTGGTTAAAGTGGCTTGCAGAGGGAGCAGCTGGTGTTCTAGGCAGGGACCCTGGGAGGGGTGCGCTCCTTAGCTGGACAGGTGCTTACCCTGTCAGGAGGAGCTAAAGCTTTGAGGCAAGAGAACGCAGCCTGGGTTGCTCACCCAGCTCACTGCAGTGGTCTGACTTGAGGACCTGATGGAGGTAGTGGGGAAAGAATGGGACCAGGAAGCCCGGGGAGGTGGGCAGGGGTAGAATGTGTGCGTTGCATGTGGGAACACCAGGCCAATCCCTGACTCCCTACTTCAGCTCTCTGGCTCCTGAGCATTGCTGCATGTGCCTCTGAAACACAACAAAACTAAACCCCAGTGCAGTGTCAGAGAGTGGGACCCGAAACGGAGACCTAGCTGGAGGGTTGGCCACCAGAGGATGTGGGCTTGGGAGTGGAGGGGGCAGGGAGGTGAAGAGGCCTCTCCAGTGCACACCGGGCCTGAGTGCAGTGCTGCTTGCAGGGCGTTGTCCTGCTGTGTCCCTGCAGGGCAGGATTGGACAGTTCTGCACCTCTGCTGAACCCGGCGGCAGTAGCTCACGATACCAGTGTCATCAGTGAGGTTCCCCTGGGGAGTCACATGATAACCAGATGACGACCGAACACTTACTGGGCGCAGAGGACAGCCGTGTGCTTTTGCCTGATGTCGGTCCTCTGTCCATCCTGTCATGCCCAGGTGGAGGCCACCGAACTCCTCCTATTATGGTGCTGATGCCTCCTTGGTGGCAGTGGATGCTCTGAAACTGTGGGCTGCCCTCGTGAGCTGACACCTCTTTTGCTCTCTGACCTCCCTGATGGGGCAAAGTATCTTCTACCTGGCCTCCAGGAGGTTCTCCAGGCTTGCTTGTGCAGGGGTAAAGCGCCCTAGGGCTCGTTCGTTCTGCTTTCAGCTTTCTCTCCAGTTATGTAACCTCTTGGCGTTTGGGATTGTTCTTGTTAATGTCTCCCTCACCACCACTTAAGCCACAGTTCCTGGAAGGAATGTTTTCCGGAGATGGAAGCTGAGGTGTGGCCTGCCAGGTACAGAGTGACCTGCACTGAGTGGTAAAGCCCGGATTGGGGAGGAAGGAGGGGGGCTTTGGGGAACAGCCTCGTGGTGGTGTGCCAGCCCCCAGGTGTGGAAGAATGGGCAGGCACCCACCCCTGAGCTCAGGCGTCAGCTGCCCTCCTAATGCAGATCACACCGGTGCCTTTGACAGAATGCTGAGGCAGCTGAAAAGGAAAAACAGGCCCTTTCCTCGGAGAAAGATGTAGAATATTAACAGAGCACAATTGCCAAGTTTCCTTCTTGCCTCATCTTCTGATTTATGGGGTGTGATCTGCAGTCTGGAGCTACGAGTGTGGCCCTGCGGTGAATGGGGCTCAGTGGGAGAGTGCACAGTTTGTATGTGTGAAGCCCAGGGTTCCACCCCCAGTACGTCTCCTGCCACCCAGAAGGGAAGAACTGGATCTGCAACACTTATAGGATGTGGATTGCAGAACTGAGCACAGTTCTGGGGCTTCTGTTTGTTCTTCGGCTAGCAAACATGTGGGGTCTGTGTGAACACCTGCAGATTAACGGGTGTTGCCTGGCAGAGCCCAGCAGGGCCTGGTGGAGGAACACCCTGCCTTTGGGGCTCCAGCAGCCCCTTTCCCGGCCCGGGGCCAGAGCTGGACACTTGTCTGGCTCCATTTCCTGTTGCTATGCTGTGTCTATTTCTGGCCTCCTGGTTGTCGATGATCCGCAGGTGCTGTGTCACTCACTGTGTCACCTGTAGTGTTGCCCTGACTAGGATGGACGAAAGTGCCCCTCCAGCAGGTCCCTGGGTGTCCAGTGCTTCCTTGCCTGTGGCTCACCATGCCTAGGTGCCTTCAGACCCTGTGAGGGCCCACCAGCTCAGAGCTATTCCCCTTAGACCGTGTCCTGTCTGTCTGCATGTGCCAAGTGTCTGCCACAGTTGGGATGCCCAGGTCCTTTCGGGGCCTCCTGCTCTGTCCTAGGTGCAGAGCCCATCTGTGTGACTGCACCCCACCCCCAAAACCCTCAGCAGCCCTACCATGTCTCCCTGGTCTCCCAGGCTGCCTGAACCATTGGCCTCTGTCTCCTGCTCTCCTCAGGGGACCCCTGTGACTCTCAGGTGGGGGTGCTGTTGGAAGGCAGGAGGGGAACAAGCACTGTCCAGGATGTGCAGGTGGGCACCTGGTGAAATGGGTCTGTGCAGTCCCCTCTCTGGGTGGGAAAACTCTGTGACTCAGAGCAGAGCTGCTGGAATTTTTTTCAACTTAAAACCCCCCTTTGCCCAAGAAATGCAACAGGCCAGCACTGCCAGAACTACCTTGGATTCATCTTTTTTTTTTTTTTTTTTTTTTTTTGCTTTTTTGGGTCACACCCGGCGATGCACAGGGGTTACTCCTGGCTCTGCACTCAGGAGTTACTCCTGGCGGTGCTCAGGGGACCATATGGGATGCTGGGAATCGAACCCCGGTTGGCCACGTGCAAGGCAAACGCCCTACCCGCTGTGCTATCTCTCCAGCCCCTTGGATTCATCTTTTGAATTAATTTTCATTTGTTGCACATTCAGAAACTTTTTACTGTTGCCAAATAGTTTGTACTTGTACCCCCCCAACCCCCCCGCCCTTGCAGTGGCTTGACCCCCAGATGAGGGCACACTGGGGGGTGCCTTTGTGTTTCCACTCGGGCAGGGTCTCCCCACGCCAGCCGCCTCAGATGTGCATGGAGGTCCCTCCCGGACTTCAGGGTCCCACTTTTCCACCAGTCAGATCTTGCCTTGTCCTCCCCATGTGCCTCTTGCCTCTCTTGTGGCCCAGGTCACATTTCCCCTCACGCTGTCCTGGCTGTCCGTCAGCAGGAGCCCCTTGTTGCCTTCGCGCGGGTGTGAGGAAGCTGACGGGGTAGTTTCCCAGCGTGTGTCAGGCAGTGCGTGTCCTTCCACTGCTCTTTACGGGAACACGGACGTGGACATCTCTGGTATTTTTGTAAGGATTGCAGACATGTTCTTGCCGTTGGCGTGCACATTCTTTCAGTACCCTGGGGATCCTTGGGCTCGTGGTGGTCAGAGAGCTTTCTTTTTCTGGCACCAACTGGACTGGCCTTGTTTAGTTGGGTCACATTGAGGCAGCAGAGCCCTGACGGACTTGTTCATTTATTTATCAGCAGGTCCTGTGCTGGGAAGACAGGCAGGGAGGCCCATCTTGGGGGGAGGAGGCACGCTGCAAGCAGACGTGCCAGGCTTCTCCTGGGGCCAGGTGTGCACCCCCACTTCAGACCCATGTTCTGGAGCCGAGCGAGACTTAGGTGTGCCTCAGTGGAATGAGGCCTGTGATAGATTTAGGGCTTCCTGTCTGTCTGTCAGCAGTCTTGGTTCTGTGATGCTTGACACAGTTGTGTGGTCTGTCTCCTGTCCCCCCCAGCTAGAGGTTTTGAAGCTGGGGCTGTGTCCTTCATCCTACCTGGAGAACCTGTTTCACGCAGGGATTGTGACTGGGAGGAAGGAGGAGGCAACTTGGCATGGCCCCTGGTTTTATCGAGGAGGCCAGAGGCCGGAGGCTGGCTCCCATTGCTCTCTGAGTTGTTTCTCTTTTTAAATTGTTGTTGGGACCACACTAGCAGTGCTGGGGGGTGCTTCTGATGGTGCTCAAGGGACCATGAGGTTTGAGAAATCAAACCCAGGGCTCCCACATGCAAGGCACATGCTCCAGTTCCTTGAGCCCTCTTCTGAGCCCCCACCCCCACCCCATTGCTCTTTTTTGATGGGGGCCTCTCAAGTGGTGCTCTGGTAGCCCAGAGGCCTCTGCCTGGGATTCTTGGCCAGTAGGCCTAGCAAGGCAGGGCGAGGGCCCGAGGACACAGAGTTGCAAGGACTCCGCGGTCCCAGGAATTGAACTGGATCCTCAAGTATGTCCTAACTCCTGTATTTTCTTCCCAGCCCACCCCCAGCCCCCACTGCCTTAATGAGAGTTGGGTGGAGAAGCAGACCCTCCAGAGGCAGGCCGGCTGGCCACCCAGCTGTGCATTTAAATTTGATCATTTAAATGATCCCAAGCTTGGCCCTCACCCCCTGGAGCTGGAGTTACTGTCTTGCTGTCTGGGGACTTTCCCACTTCTCCCTCCTGTCTGCTTGCTTAGCTGTCCTTTGTTGCTCTGTTGAGTCCCCTTCCTTCACGCTTTTCCTCGACCCTGCCAGACTGGTGTCCTCGTCACCCAGAGGCAGCCGGTATGTCGGGCCTGCTGCCAAGGCACTCTATAAGAAGGGATATGGTAGGGCTGGAGAGATAGTGTAGTGGGTGCAGCACTTGCTTTGCATGCAGCCGACCCAGATTTGATCCCTGGTACCCCACATTATCCCCTGAGTTCTGTCTAGGAATGATCCCTGCGTACAGAGCCGGGAGTAAGCCCTGAGCACTGCCAGGTATGACTCAAAAGCAAACAAAAAGTTATGCTGGTATATATTAACATCTCTCTCCCTTTGTGTTTCAGCGAGGATGCCATGAGAAAAGCTGGCGTGGCCCACAGTAAATCCAGCAAGGATATGGAGAGCCATGTGTTCCTGAAGGCCAAGACACGGGTAAGTGTGGGCAGGGCCGGCAGAGAGGCTGGGGAAGGGAAAGGGCGTGACACAGACTGTGGATCTGCTCTGCCTGGAAATTGGAGAGAAGGTGACTGATCACGGATAGATCATGTGCTCTGTTGACTTTGCCAGCAGCACCCTTCTTGTGTCTGGTATAGGGGTAGAGAGGGTGCCAGGTGGGCACCTAGCATGGAGCCCAGGCTCACAGCAAGCACCCTCTGTCATGATTCAGTTCCATGAATCCTGTAGGGTGCTCATTTAGAGTCCAGCTGCTTCTGTAGAAGGGGTCATTTCTGACTCTGTCCTTGGCCAGAGGCCCTCAGGGAGAACTCACATGAGCCCCACATGATCCTGGCATGTGGGCCTAGAACGGTTACTGTCCCTTTTATTAAGTGATGAAGGTGGTGCTCATAGAGACTGAGGGCCTGAGGGAGTCCCTGAGCGTAGGAACTTCATGTAGGGGGGATGGGGATCGTTTTCACTGTAAACAGACTCTTGTCCTGACTGGAGGTGGGGGGAGGGGGTGTCATGAGTTCATGTGACCTCCTTCTTTTCAGCTCTGCTCTCTCTGGGGCAGATCTGTTGCAGCAGAAATGAAGCAGGATAGAGGAGGGAGGGAATGATTTCTGGAGCTTAATTGTGCTCTGAACCTGCTCCTCACCACGCCTCGTAGCCAGTGCTGAGCCTCCACCCACTGTCACTCTGATCATCCTGTGCCCAGCTGTGCTGCTGTCATCCTGGGACACAGAATTAAAAGCAGATGCAGGGCTGGGGCCATAGTACAGAGGGTAGGGCTCTCGCCTTGCATGTGACAGACCTGGGTTCAATCCCTGGCATCTCATATGATCCTCTGAGCCTGCTGGGAGTGATCCCTGAATACAGAGCCAGAAGTAAACCCTGAGCATCACCGGGTGAGGCCCCAAAACAAACAAGAATGAAAAACAAGTGTTATTTATGCCCTTGGATGTTTTGATGAGGCGATTTCTTTTTCTTTTCTTTTCTTTTCTTTTTAATGGTAGAGTTTACTGCTAGAGAAAATAGCTTCTAAAGCAGGCACTGTCTGCATGGTCCTGTCAGGGTCAGAACGCCAGATTTGTGTTGTGAGCATGTCATTGCCAGGGACCCTGAGGGTAGGGGCACTGAGATGGACTGAGGAGGACTCTGCCACAAGTGTATTTGATAAACCTCTTTTAATTATACATACAGGGCTGTGCTCCAACACTAAGCCACATTCCTGGCCCTCTCTTCTCTCCTCTCCCTCCCCCTCCTTTTTTGTTTTTGTTTTGTTTTGAGGCCACAGAGTAGTGCTCAGTACTTACTCATGACTCTGCACTCAGGGTTCACTCCTGGTGGGGCTCGGGACCATGTGTGGTGCCAGGGATTGAAACCAGGTCTGCCGTGTGCAAGGCAAGAGTCCAACTCTCTGTTCTGTTGCTCTGGTTCCCCTCTTTTTTTCTTCTTTTTGGGTCACACCCAGCGAAGGTCAGAGGTTATTCCTGGCTCTGCACTCAGAAATTACTCCTGGCAGTGCTTGGGGGACTATATGGGATGCCAGGGATTGAACCTGGGTCAGCTGCGTGCAAGACAAACGCCCTACCTGCTGTGCTATTGCTCCGGCCCCTCTTTTCTTCTTTTTATCTTGTGCTTTGTTTGGGGGCCACATCTGGCTGTACTTTGCCTTACTTTTGGCTCTCTACTCAGGGATCACTGCTGGCAGGTTTGGGGGACCGTATGGGGTCCCAGGGATTGAACCCAGATCGGCTGCATGTATTGTCTCTTCACCCACCCCACCCCCACCTCATTTTCCTCTTTTTATATCAGCTTTATTGAGATGTAATTTCTTAGACACAAGTCATTCATTGACGATGTTTTTAGGATGGTCGTAAGGATATGCAACCATTGCCACACTTTCATTTTATTTATTTTTGGGACATCTGGTGATGTCTTGGGAAGGGCCATGTGATGCCAGAAATTGAACCTGAGACTCCCACGTGCAAATCATGCACTCTTGCCTTTGGAACTATCTAATTCTCACTTTAGGGGGTTGGGGGGAGGGGGCACACCTGACTGCTCAGGGCTTACTTCTGACTCTTGGAACATATTCTGTAAGAAACTCCATACGCTCGGGGGCCGAGAAATGCTTGCCTTGCAGGCAGAGGTGGGGGCTGGGTGCTTGCCTTGCTTGCAGCTGACCCTGGTTTGATCCCTGCCATATGGTGACCACTCCATATGGTCTCCCAAGCCCCAAGCCCTGAGCAAAACTGGGTGTGTCCCAAAAAGAAAAGCAACTCTGTACCCTTTAGTAGTCACTATCTGTTTTCTCTCAATACTCAGTAACCCTGCTAGCTGTTGATATAGTTTAGTCTCTGAGCTTTTCATAGAAATGTGATAATACAGCGTATATCTTTGTGACTGGCTCCTTGTACTTAGCATGTGTTTTTTGCTTTGGTCTGGTTTGGGGCCATACCAGGCGGTGCTCAGGGCTTCCTCCTGGCTCTGCACTTAGAGAACACTCCTGGCAGGGCCTCAGGGACCATATGGAGTGGTGGGAATCAAACCAGGGTGAACTTTGTGCAAGGCAAATGCTTTACCCACTATACTCTCTCTCCCTCCCTCCTCACTTAGCATTCATTCATGAACATGTTGTAGCATGTATTTTGCCCCTTTTTACTGACAGAATGTTTTTTATTTGGTTCTTGGGCCACACCCAGCTGTGCTCAGGGCTTACTCCTGGCTCTTTCCTCAGGAATAACTCCTGAGGGGCTCAGGGGACCACGTGTGGTACATTGTTAACTGCATGACAGGCAGAAAGCACCTTACCCAATATATACTCTCTCTGACCTGACGTTCCTACTGTTCTATGGCTCTGTCACATTGTTTATTCATTCATTAATTAATGGACATTCGGATCCTCTTAGAGTAATGCTGCTATAAACATCGGTGTACCAATTTTCTTATGGATATAATGTTTCCAATTTATCTTGTGTGTATCTATGAGTGGAATTACTGAATCGGATGATCACTCCATGACTAGCCTTTGAAGGACCAGCCAGGCTATTTTTCAGGTTGCTGTGTGCAGCCCACTGTACTATCGCTTCAGGCGCGGACACTCATTTTTATTCTGTAACACCCTCATTCCTACACCTTACCTTTACTCTGCTTAAAGGAGGCTGAGGAAATAAAAATAACTGCCTGGGGTGGTCGGAGATAAGGATAATAACAACTTCCAAGCATTCCATTTGGCATGCCCTGGATGAGACTCCTCTGCATCAGCTCACACAGCAGCAGGGTCCAGGGACTTAGGGCAGGGTCTTGCTGAACCTTCATTTATTTGGGTTTTTTGGTTTGTTTTTTGTTTGGCAGTGGGGGTGGGGATGGGCCACTCCAGGCTGTGCTCTTGGCTATGCATTCAGAGATCATGGTGGGGTCAGCCACATGGAAAGCAAGTAGCTTCCTCACTGTACTCTCTTTGACTCTGCCATTTAGTTGTTTTAAATTTAAATTTTTGTTTTGTTTTTGTTTGGGGGCTGCACCCTGCAGTACTCGGGGCCTATTCCTGACTCTGCGCTCAGGCATCACTCCTGGTAGGATGCTGGGGATTGAACCCAGATTGGACACTGGCAAGGCAGTCACCCTACCCACTGTATACTATTGCTCTGGCGCCTTAAATTTGTATTTTAAACACACCATCTCTACTGCACTAAAGCTTTTCTGGGGGGTTCATTGAGGGTGCTGCTCCCAGGAGCCTGACAGTGCTCAGCCAGCTAGGCAGGACCGTTCAGTGGACCCCATAAGCAGTGTTTCTTGGGTTTGACAGTGCCAGGGCCCACCAGGTCCACTCCTGACATTGCTCAGAAGCCTTCAGGTTACGGCCAGCAATGTGGGACCAGGGAACACCAGTAGAGCTGGGTTTGCACTTGGGCCCCTGTGTATGCAAGCATTCACCCCTGACTGCTGAGCTAGCTCCCTGATGCCTGCCTGCACTTTCTCTGTGTGCAGAAGTCTACATGCAGTGTCTGTTGTAGCATAGAAATGAGTAATGCAAAACTGAATTCCATTTGGGGCGGCTCAAGGTAAAGTGCAGGAACTAGGGAGGCTGAGACATCAGAAGAAAAGATCACATCCTGGGAACAAGGATCTCGCCCAAATTGCACCCAGCAAGAGAGGAAGAGGACACTTAATGTGTGTCTGATTCGAGGCAATCCATTCCTGCCTTCAGGCTTCTGAGGGGACCTTGACCAGATCTGAGTACATCTGTCCCTGTTTAGCTAAGAACAGTTATTCAGGAGACCAAGGACTGAGGCATGAGAAGCATTCTAATTCATGTCTGCAAAAAAGGCGTGGGCGCAGTGGGTTCATGACTAAGGCCTAATTGTAGGCAGTGCTTCTTAGCTCTGCTTTGTTTAAAGGTTTGAGAGGCAGGACGTTTCCTGCTCCACCCTTAGTAAACACTTTTGTTCAGAAACCTAGTGGTGAATTCTTTTCTCTTTCTCCTTTTTAATAACAAAGTGAATAAAATATTCATTGCTTTTTCCATACTCAACCTCTCTGTGATCATGACTCCCTTACTCATTTATTATCTGTATCTTGAACAGTTTCTTGCTTCATGTCCTGGGCCATGGTAGAAGGTAGGGTCTCGACTTCCACACAGCCTACTTGGATTCGGTTCCGCACCACATATAGTCCTCTGAGTACTCCCAGAAACGAAAAACAAAAGTAGCTCCTTGCCGCTTATGAAATTGACAAATACCTGTTTTTCCTCCTTCCCTTTGTTGTTGCAGTGACAGTAGGTCACACACTTGTTAGCAGTGCCCACGCTTTGGTTGACTGCTCTAGTTTGGGTGTACATACCCACTTTGGACTGTGGTGCGCGCTTGCTATCACGTGCTTGGTTGAGGTGCTTCTTGCTAAAGGTGCCTGCCAGGGTCTCATGCTTTAATGGCAGTGCTTGTTAGTGGTTGCACACGGGGCTGCTGCTAGCAGAGATGGTAGCGCTG